TCTCTCTCTCTCTCTCTCTCTCTCTCTCTCTCTCTCTCTCTCTCTCTGTCTCTCTCTCTCCTCCCCCCACCTGTCTATCTGTCTCTCTCCCCCCCTACCTGTCTGTCTGTCTCTCTCTCTCTCTCTTTCTCTCTTCCCCTCTCTTCTCTCCCTCCCTCTCTCTCCTGCTCCTCACCCCGTGTGTGTAGGAAGGAGTAGGCACTTTTTAATGGGTCAAACTCAATTGGAAAACCATCTCCACTTAGCTGAACTCTCAGTGCAGTTCTTTTAACCTTAGCTGGACTGCTTGGAATCTGCCCCAATTCCCAGCCTGCAAATGCATGGTTCAGTGACCTGTCACAAACTTAGGCAGCTTCTGTACAGAATCTGAGACTCCTCCTGCCTTGCTTTCTCTTTTCTGAGATGTCCCTCTTCACTTTTCAGTTGCTGTGTTTGTCCCTATTCTCTCCTCTGCTTCTTCCAAGTAATAAAAATGCAGTTTTCCCAGCTTCATTAAGCCTTCTTTCATCCCCACCCCGAGGGTGGTACATATTGTAACCTGCCCTTAGACAACACTCTCCCCCCACACTGATGACTCATCAAGTTTATTTGCTTCAAGTGATGGCTGTCTTCCAGTACCTGCCTGCCTTTTGGGTTTTCTCCAAAGTTTTCAGGTAGCTTTTGAAAATATGGCATGATATTTTATCCAGATATAGTTGTTTTCTGTGGTTGAATGGTCCAGTGGAGCTTCTTGGCCTTTCTCAGAAAGCTAATGAAGAGTGAACCAGGCAGTGGAGAGATCTAGGTCATTCCTGTAGAATTGCAAATGGGACCTCTACAAGCATTAACTCTTGAGTTTGAGCTTAGATCATTGGGGTGGGTGATGAAGAAGCAGAAAGGCAGTATGATCATCCAAAGCACATTGAAGGAAGGTCTGCGATGTTGATACTTGTACTAGTTATCTTTCCTGCAATAAGATTACCCCAAAACTTAGTGGCTTAAAACAACAACAAACACTAGATTATCTCTTACGATTGCTGGGGGTTAGGGATTTGGAAGCAGCTTCGCTGGCCAATTCTGTCTTAAAGTCTGTCATGAAGTTGCAATCATAATGCCAGCTGGGACTACATTCATCTGAAGGCTTCTCTCAAGCTAAAGAGTCTACTCTCGTGGTGGCTCACTCACATGACTGGCAAGTTGGTGCTGGTTGTTGGGAGTGGCCTCTGTTCTTCCCCACATGGACTTCTCCACATAGTATTGCATCAGTGTTCTTGGAACATGGAAGTTGGCTCCTTCTTGTGGAAATAATCCAAAAGAGAACAAAGTGGAAGTGACAGTAAATTTTATGACAGTTTCATAATATACTCAATGTTACTTCTATAGTATCCCTCTGGCCATACAGGTCAGTCCTTTTCAATGTAGGAGGGGACTACACTATGGCATGGCTACAAAGAGGTAAGCATCACTTTAGGAGGCCATTTTGAAGGACAACTTCCATTGGGCGCCATACCTGGTAGCAACTTCTTAATAAGGGCCATAGCTTCTTATGGTAGCAAACATGGAGTGGCTTTGGAACAAGTAAATATAATTGTGGCTTTCCGATTTGATAGGCCAATTCTTGATTTCACAGCTTCTTGGCAGTTTCCTTGGTAGTTCCAGGTGTTTTAGGAAGTTCTTGAAAATTCACTATGAAGTCTATTTCTTCAGCCTTCCATCACCAGATCAGAAGAAAATCCTTCCTTAAAAAAAAAAAAGGTGGAATCAATTCTGTGCACAGTCATTAATTCCAGAATGATACAGACAGCAAAATTGAAAATGTGGTCTTCAAACACAGATTTCTTAGATTTTTCTTCCTTGTAATTCTATAGTTAACAGATATTCAAATACCTCTTGGAGAAATATCTTATAAGTCATGATGAAATCAATCAGCATGACTGACCATTTTTGTCACGCAGGTTGAGGAAGAAAGAAGGCATATTGAAGGACTAATCCAGGGGTGGATGGTTATAGTAAAGGTGTGATAGCAGAACAAATCTGAGGGAGCTGATTATAGCATTGAGAAAATGGATCATGTGATGACCCACAGGACCAGGGTCAGTCTGAAAGGAAATTAGGACAGTAGTGAGTGGGCTGGTATACTGCAAGAATATGGGGAAGGGCTAGTGATCCTAATATGGTTGAAGAGTGAGTAAAATGAATATAAAAATAGGAGGTATTTGGAAGAGAAGAAGAACACATCATGGTGACAGGGAATTGATGAGGTTGTCCACATGGATGATGAGACTTCCCAAGGTACTGGCAAGACTTGAGGCAGAAGAGATAAGTGAGAGTCAAAGTTCAAAGGCATTTATCAGAGTGGAAGAGAGAACTGAATATAAATAGGTATCTGTAAGGGGGAATGGTAGCCAGTGAGATGGTAGGTGGAAGGAATCTCAGAAAGGGTCTTTGGCATAGACTAGGAAAGAATGGTCAATAGAAGGGGCAGTGGGGAATCGGGAGGATGTGGCCACTACCTCTCAACCAAGAGACTGTGGAAACAAGGAAACCTTCTGGAAGGAAAGTGCAATTCTCCTCAGAGTATAGTCTTCCTTCTGGCTGCTGGTCCCTAGAACATTTATTAATGTAAATCAATAATGTCATTAAATACATTATTTAGTCCAGTGGGGTTTGTTTATTTGTTTGTTTTTCTGTTTTTTGATACTGGAGATTGAACCCAGGG